ATGACGTCAACATGTATAAGCACCATTCAGAGTATCATATTACCTGTCTCTCTTATTGCAAAAGAATAAAAGGATACGGTAGCATGACAGTGAGCGTCGATTTCGCCGCTGCATAGCATTTTCGTAGAATTTTGATTGTGCATTAGTTTTTCTAGGCAGCGGTGGGAAAGTCTAGAGGAATTGCATTCATAGCTATTTATTGAATGCCGGACAACTGCCACATTCTTGCGATAAACTGCCCATTCTGCAGCTCGAAAATTAGCGAGTTGTTCAACTTTCCATAGATATCGATATCGCCCACAATGGCTGCGCCGCCCTATGAAAAATTTCGCAACCCTTGAAAGGGAGCGACGAGTGCGTCGTGCAGTCGAGCAGATGTACTTTAGCAGCTCGACGTGCAAACGTACGGGGGGAGGGGGGGGGGGGGGGAGATAAGCCATGTGTGGTATCTATAATTGGGTTCCGCTCCATATCCTTCTACGTATTTGCATTCGCTTCTGCGACGCACTCTTTTGGCGTCGATCGATAATCGATTTATTCTCCTTTGAATGCGCCATTCCTTCCCAAGGCAGTATCATCTTGTATAACTGCCGAAAACGTAACAAATAACTGGAAAGCTATAAAATTCTTAACTTGTTTCTACGCCGTTTCGTCTTCTCTGCTAATCGTCGTAACAGATAGCTTGTTCCGCCAAAGATTGCTCTACCGCAGATTTATGACTGACAGAACACGCGCCAGTCGCTGGTATTGGTTGCGTTTTAACGTCGGGACCTGTTGGAACATGTCTGTTTGCCTTTCTTCTAAGCTTGAAACACTTATCATAGACATGTTGAACACGAAACTGTGATTGCACACTCTAGATCTCCACGCTAAGCGTATATCAGTGGCGCATATTTTAGCGACGGAGCACTCTTTGCAGCGCCTGTAATCATCGTTCAAACTTTTAGTTGTTTCAGTCTTGAAAATCAGTCCGGTTTAATATCAGTTGGGACAGTTTTTCTATGTCTTCAGTATATCGCTAATTGATCATGACTATTTCCAAATAATAGTAAGTTTTTCCGACCAGGACCGGTTTTTCCAAGCTATATGTTATTTATTTTCGAATGTTATTAATAGTAGGGAAAGTATAGTATGCCCAACTTTGATGCAGAACTACCACTGCCATGAGCGGTTCACTTCCAGTTTGTAGGAGTTTTTTTACGATTTTCGATTCTTCATCATCCAGTTTGGTGATTGTTTGAACAACTGGTCACACTATCTGTATACCCTATTCTGCAAAAGTAACTTTGCATCTCAAGATAAATCTCAAAATGGCCCTCTTGAGATGTGGAGAAATATTATAATTTTTGTGTCATCTGTATAACCAGGATATCAAGCACGTTACGAAGAAGCTTTCTTGAAGATTTTCCAGAACTCGCCGCTCTTCCCGTACAATTGAATCGTGACTTTTCCAGAAATTTTTCTTGCAGCGCCTCTTATTCCCACCTCCATTTCTCCGAACCCGCTCTCAACTCAAAGATAAGAGACCTGAAAAGCGTTAAAGATGCTATCGCTGACATTTTTCATAGCCGTCACACCCATCTACCTGCAGCACAGCTGTCATGTGCTGCTGATAGCCGGGCAGCTGATAGCCTCAGGCGGAGGCCTAGGTCTGTTAATATATCAGCTCTGCGGCTTATCGGAGCAATGCGGTTTGGATTCTAGCTACCGTAATCGCATTTTCTGAGGAGCTAATCGCTCTTTTCCGGTTGCGAAAGCGCTTGAGTAGAGAAATTTTGGGAAAAAAAGTTTACGCTTATTTCCGGGGTTTTTTCTTAATCTGGTTTCCCAAAAAAGAGCAGTTGTTGCTCCATGAATCATACTTCGTTATCATGTCAATTTCATTTCTTCTGAAGCACTGAGCCTCCTCCCCCCCCCCCCTCCTTGCATTTCTCGAATAAACCGATACCAGCCGAAGCGAGCGAGGCGAGCGCGGCTGAATCAACGCCGCCGTCGGTTTTATCGGTCGCATTCATCTCCTTTGAAAATTAGGGTTTTGTCGATATTCTTGATGTTCTCTCCGTCGTTTATACTTTATGGTTCATCGATCTCTGCTGATATAGGAAATTTTTTGGAAAAAATGCGGGTTTGTTTGCGAAGTTCCTGCTTTTCCGGCATAAGTATAGGATTTTGTGGAGTTTCTTTTGGCTAATTTACTCTACAACTTTTAAATCATTGCTGATTTTTTGCATTTTCACAGGTCTCAAAATTTTTCGAAATTTTATCTCTGAAAGCACTTCTTTCACGTTGTACAGTAGCACTCATGTCAGGGCATTTTTGAAACTTTTTCGATTTTTTCGATTATTTATATCCGTTTCTTTGCTTGCGATAAATAAAAAAACAATCCCCTTACAGTATACTATTACTCATCATCTATTGCCATTCCATTGCCAACACCTTATTATCCATCATGAACACACAATCATATGAATGCATATAAATGCGCTATTTTGAGGGATTTTGTAAAAAACTGTGCAATTGCAGAATGCATTGACAATGCGGTCTAGCCTTCTTTAGAATCTATTATTAGGTTTTATCAATACTTGAGCGCAGCGGCTGTGTATTTATATGGGTCTTCTCCTGTACGTGAATGCACAGATGCTTTTTCGGGTTACCGTATTCTGAACAATAGATGGAAGTTGATGAGTCATGCGCTCTGAATATGAAATTTTGAAGGGAAAAAGTTCAGTGAGAGGTAAAATTGACGCGATCATATGGCTCGGAATTTGGAAGATTTTTAGGTTTAGGATCACTGGCTCAAAATTGTGCTTCAACTATCCAATGTATTGAGAATTGATCAGCAAAAACAATTTTTATATCTTAAGTTATTCGATTTCATTTTTTCTAATCATTTAAACTTTTCCATTGTTTCTCTCATTTACACTGTCAATACTTATCGAACATGTTTTTTGAACCCCCCAAAAGTTATATCACCCCAAATCCTCTTTTCTCGAAGCCCATATATTTCGGGAGCCAGAGTTGAAATTTGATCCCAGCATCAGCTGTGTGCGCACTTCATCGATGTAACCTCTGGATCCACTTCAGGATGTTTCATAGCTCTTTGAGAGCAGATTCAGGCTTGAAAGGAGAGCTTTCATCCTGAAATCAATCCTGCACGATCAGCTGCGTAAATATTGAGAGACTGCAACCAATATGTTTATCCTATGTGAAATCGTAGGGGAAAGCCATGGTTCGGCTACTGATTTGGTATTGGAGCAGAATTCAAATATTGTTTTGTAATGATTATAAATAAAATATAATTTCTTTTTCATTCTGGTATGCAACGCTTAGTTAGCATTTTTGATTTTTTTTGCTTTGTCATCTCTCTAACTTTCAGGTTATTCTAAGTAAAACGTGTAAAAAAAGAATCTCACTAAATATACTTCACTCTGTGCCATTTGAGGAAGCTTTTTTCACGAAACCTGTCCCGTCAAAATCTTTCAGGCATTCTTGCTAATTTTCTAATCGATTCTCACTATTACTGTAACACTCGGGAGACCATCTTGTGAAACGTATGGTGGTAAACTTCTTTTGCATAAGTGTAGTGTACAACATGTACGCAGAGTCATTTCGTGACCACCATTGAACACTATACTACGCAAAGAACTATAAATTTCATATAGTTTTATGTGCTAGGACATAGGTGATTTAGTAAAGTTATTTCCCTTGGCCTTCCTCATATTTTTTTAAATGGACTTTGATTTCTTGATCATTCACATAAGTTCAGTTGATTTTTTGCGTCGAATGTTTCGGGTGATAAATTGAGCTGCGGATGTAGAATCTATCTATAAAGCTGTTTTTATCTAGGTATAAAGCCAATCAACAAGATGGTTGGAACAATCGGTAACCACAGAAAGATTTATGACTTTTATTTTCCTTGAATTTTCGATTAACTGCCTTGTCTTATTATTTTATCTGCTCGAAGTGTTACTGAATTTGAAGGGACAATTGGTAGCGAAATCTACCCTTGCAGAAGAAACATTTTTGAGCTCTTTTTCTTCTCGAGTATCGTTTGAATTTGTATTTAAAGACAAACATCAAAAAATTTCTTATGTGTTCTACAGACTGCCTTAAGTTTCATTTCCCAACAACGTTTGCTCTAACTTTTATTCTGCTTTGATGTTCGAGAATATTCCGTAGCAACGAGAATGATGGGAAATGCAGATTTAATCTAACATCGTGAGTTAGACAGTGTCGGAATCTGTCCCTCATAAGTTCCCTTACAATCTGCTTTTACCTTCTTTTTTTTCTCTCTCTCTCTCTCTCTGAAACTCGAATCTTCGTTTCTATTTTGGTCGAGAGAAAAACTAGAAACTTATTGAATTACTCGTTCAGCGAAGAAGTTCCAGCAGGACAACTTCTTTCTTGTCTCTCCATTACATTTTCTGCCCAACGTAAAATCTGCACAAGATCCAGCATAAGGCTCAGACTAAAAATGCTCTGAGCCACATTTTTATGTTTTCTTGTCTCTTCGTCGTCGAACTTTGTGTCGCTATCCATATGTGCTAGACTTGAACTAGCTAGTATCAACCATTCATGACTAGAAAAAACAAGCACATTTCCGAGAAATAGCAGTCCATAAAACACTCAGCACGATTGATGTGCTGTTCGAAAATGCATCAGCAGATGGTCGAGAAAGCGAAAGACGTGCATTCACGTCTTCTTTCTTTCGACACCTTTCCGCACGGTTTGAGAATCGTTCCTTCCCCCATCCCTCGAATTAGGAATTAGCAGAGTTCGTTGACCCTCTTCCCTATCTTACTTTTTTTCCTGGACACAAATGAAGTCATGAAGTTGACGTATCTGGATCAGATGTGAGCGTTCCCAACATCATCAACTTTGCCCTAGTTTTCATGGGATCTTCTCGAAGAGTCATTTTTTTCCCATTCTCGTTTCTATCGAGATTGAAACATGCCGAAAGTAGTCAATCAAGTATTCTACCCTAATACAGAATTTTGCAGAGCGATTCGTATCATTCATCGCCCGTTCTCGACTCATCGCAACGATGTACTGCTAGGAAGCGTTGGTCAGCTAGTTTTGGACGTGAGTTCGTTTATTCGCACTCTAAAATTACATGGAAATCTAGAAAATTCAAGAAACTCAATTAGATAAAATGCGAAATTATTCCTTCCCATTCTGTAACCTCTTGCTCATTTTTTGAGCGAATCTTGCATCTGAGCCTCTGCTCATGCTCGGCTTTGTCCATAATCTAATCATAGAGAAATGGAAAAAATTATAGAAGAACTGCGTTGCCTTTTTCCTCTGCCTCGTTATTGAATTTCTCGCATAACGAATTCTTCTGATTGAATCAAAACACACTGAATGGAATCCGCATCACATTTTTCATCTTTTCACGTCCTCAGAAATGAAGAGGGATTTTTTTTTCATAGAACATCAAGTTGGTTTTACGGTGTGCAGCTTGTCAAACAAGTCTTTGTCTTTTGCCGAAAATGTACAAAAAGGGGTACTGTAGCTTTTTTACCGACCTTTTACATCCCTCTCCTCCCCTATCTTTACTGCAGGGCCTAGGTACCTCAAAAAATGCAAGTTCTTTTATTCCTGCTTCCTAAGTCTTTTTTGGTTCTGGGAAATGCTTTTGGATTATCTTGAAAATTCTTCAATCCATATTCGTGGTCATATGCCTGTCAGAAGAAAAATAGACGAAGATACTCTTTCCTCAACCTTGCAATGCATCTTCCTATCTTAATTTTTCCCGTTTCAGTATCGGCGCTGCCAGAAAGAGACATTATGAGCTCGAATGACTCTTTGACAGGTTCTCGCCGAGATCATGGTGTTGATACCATGCAACAGGTCAGTGTAACCTTTAGATCTCATCAATTTGAAAAAAAAAATAATGAAAAATATACTTTTGGGCCAGAAAGCGAAAAATTTCATAGCATAGCACGAGTACAGGAAGTAAATTCTATATCAGTTACGGACTCCCTTTTGCGTCGGTTATCGCATCGCGGAGCCGTGCGTGCAGACCTTTGATCGATGAGGCAACTTTGAATGCTAAAGCGATACGCTGCGAACGTGGCACGGAGCTTTGGCGCGCGCAGCGATTGTGCCGATTTGAAAGGAGCGCGCGATTGACATAGGCTGTATAATTTGGCAGTTTTCACTTGCATAGCTGTTCTCTGGTAAAGAATCTAATTTTGCGTATAATATAGATTTCGCGCTCAGCCAGTGGAGACCGGTAAATCTATGACTTTTTAGGGCTCCGAATTACAGGACAGCCCTCGAGGAAGTGTTGCATCGGTGAAAAGAGATGATGTCAATTATCATCCAACGCAAGCACATGTCGTACCTCAAGGAAGTGAGTTTTTTTCACTCACTTTTTTGAATGGGAAATCTAGATCGGTCCGCTTTCTAGGTATTCCCATACAAGGACAAGTTCTTGTGGATCCGGCCACTGGACAACACTATATTGTCCCACAGGCGACATTTTTCTCTCCACCGATGCAACCAATGTATTTCCAACCGCCAACGCCGGTATACTACCCATATGGACAAGTTCCTCCACCTCAAGGTAAGGAACTATTTTTCAAAATATAAGGCGCTTTAAAACTACCAATTTTTTAGGATACGTCATGCCGTCCACACCCCAGCAAACCCAATATTCGGTTCCGTTACCCTATCAACAACGGCCGTACGCTTTCCGACCTGGTTATGCGCAAAGCACGACGTCTAGCGAGGATATTAGAAGAGATGATGATAGAAGACTTGGTGAGGCGTTCATCTTGCATTCTAGAGGAACCCTTGCAGACAAATTTACAAAATAGAAATAAAATTAGATCCTGAAAAGATTGCGCTCTTTGCGTGAATGTACTTAGAATGGTGCCATACTTGCCTATGATCCGGCTTTGATTTGGATCTGATGGAGATCAGGACCACCGAGCAGCACTCACTGTTGCCGGCTGTTTAGTCGCAGCCACTTGCGCACGTCGCGCGGCTGTGGTCTCAGCTGGATCCGGATCTGATGTGGATCCGGGCAACTATGACACCACCTTTGATAAGCGACAGAAGTGTCATTTTACCATTTTTTCTTTCTCTTGCGTTCATCATGGTAAGGGAAGGCATCCATGGTTGTCACAGCACATCTCAGAAATTGATAAATATGAAAATTCAATTTTTCAGAAGATCCGCCTCCGTCATCGCCATCACTGTCGATGGCTACCCAATCAGGATTCTTTCCTACTGGATATGTCTCTTCTGCTGCCTCGACTTTTTCACAGCCGTATCGGTAAGTTCAAGCTTAGCCAAATTCCGAACAAAAATGTTCTTTCTCAAACTCTGGATGTTCTCTTTGTGCCAAACTTTGCTGAGACAAAGCTTATAGGTGTTGCCATCACGAAAAGCATGACAAGTGGTAAAAAATATCGATTCTTTTACAGACTCTTATTTACACTGAAACATCCTCTCTAACACCTCGTGCTACTGAGCTGACCATTTCTCGTTTGCAATTTACTTTCCATATGCAATTTACTACTACCTGTTGCCTAAATGATAGATCTATCTTCTTTCATTTTTCAAGTCCTCCTGCATGTTTGGTTATACGACTGTTTCTTTCATGAATCTATTTCAGCCAAAATCCACAACGTAGTAGTCCCAACAGCCAACCCGAAGACCCAGAGAGTGGTCGGGATGGGTTCAGGTAGAACTTCCACGCGTGACCATCGAGCTTACCATATAATGCATTTCTCTTCAGGCGAGACGTCACCAGATCTAGCGCTGAATTCAATCGCGTTTCTGGCGAATTCCACCGCCAAGGAAGCGGTGAATTCAATCGCTCCAGTGGTAGCTTCTCCCGAAATGGCAGTGGTGGTGATGTAGCCAGATCAGAAGCCTATTTCCGCACTGGAAACAGCGAAAACGAAGCTGTATACAGTCGCAGTGGGGCCCCTCCGGAACGTACCCCGCTCTATGGCGGGCCCCCGCCGTGGTGGGGACGTCCCCGGGATGAGCCTGGCGAATCGCTGACGGATGTGGAGAGGTACTACTTGGCTGACACAAGACGTCCCAAGAGTAGCTCTTACAGCCCTCGTATGTCACGACGTATGTCACCACCAAGTGCGACCGTGTCTGAATCGGAATCGCCCCGAGTACGCCCAATGACTGCAAAGGCTGTTAGGATGGACATTGATTTTAACAAAATTGGTGAGGATGAAACACCAAAGCCAAAACGTAAGTTAGATGGGTTTTGCATACATTTTCTTCATGTTGTCGCTTATTTTCCTTTTGTAACTTTTGTGGCCGCTTTGGTGCACTATTGTATTGGCAGGCTTTTAAGTCAGATATCAAACATGTGGTGTCGCCATATTTACCCTGTTGCTCCAATGTATCGATGTGCATGCATTTTAGCGTCAGTTTGCCGTGCCGGATATGATCCCGCTCCGATGCGGCACGCTAACATATACGTTAAAATGCATGCACGTCGACACATCACCGAAAAGTAAAGTATGTTGGCACCTCGATAACATCGTAACCCTACAATTATAATTCACTAGATTTTTGCAACACATCAAAGCGGTCCCCTTTTTTGCTTGTTATCCATTGTTACCAACGCTTCTGTGATGTGAACTCGAAGCCGTTCAGCGACCACTGCGCGATCTGTACGAATGGACATTGATCTCAGCAAACTGCCTGATAAGACAGAAGCTCCCGAGAAGAAAGGTATACTGTTGTGAAGTTGTCATCCAAATGTTGTCTAGTCGATTTGTGAGAGAAGCACATCATACACATCTCTGTCGCTCGTTACTTGTTGTAAAGTTGTCAAAAAAACCATTTTTTTTTCAATCCACTTACCATGAAGTGCTGCGCATGCTATTAATGGGCTGTAAGTGAAGTGCTTTTGAAAAGTTCTCATGTGTCAAGGCCTACAAGAAGCGAAATGCGCTCAAAGAACGAATGACTGCAGCGCATGCTTTTCAGCACAACACTTGCCGTGCTTGTTTTTTGACTTCGCGCCATCTTCTATGTATTTGCGAGAAAAAATTAACAGCGTTCTATGATGAAGAAAAGTGCGCATTTGGTTTCTTTTTGTACGAAGTGAGGAAACTCTGGCTGTAATCTATAGGGTGCGCCATGAAAAATATGGAAATGGACTTGTAATTCAATACAGTTAGCAACTCTGAGTAATCTTGTGGATTTTGTCGAGAGATTTGCAACTTAATGTGCGCATTGCATACCACATGCGCTACTTGACGATTTGTAAGGTTGGAAAATGCTAATTTTTTGGGATTTCTCCTTGTTTTCTTCTCTTTTTGAGTTGACTAGTGAACCAGTAATTAGAGGTGCCATCTGCAAGAGCATTCACTTCGGCCGCCACGCGGTTTCCCGATATTTGCACATTTTTGAGTTGCGCTTACGATTCTTCGTATAATATACTAGATAGATTGGATTTGTACCAGATAGTAGTAAACACTTCACAATTCTTCCCTGAAAAGGTTTCTCGGACAAGTTACTAATGAGGTGTCTCGTTGCCGCGCGCAGTGTGCAGGCCCACATACTAAGTTACAAGTAACTCGCGCGTGTATGAAAGAGTGTCGTCACAGATCACATTGTAATTGTTCCTACATCACCGGGCGATCACGCGCGAAAGGCAAACTTTGAGAGATAGTGTCATAAATCAAGCGGATAGTGTATCAAGCATGGAAGTTTGTGTCTTATGATACTTACAGAACGGAGGAGACTAATAATATTTCAGAGGAACGTTACGATTAAGGAATTGGCTATTAATGTAAGGAACAACGTAAGGTCAAGATATGATTCAAATTGAGAGTGAGAGTGATATGACTTGTACAGTTTTGGCGCTTGGTGTGAATGCAGACAATGACAAATTCTAGGATTGCGGACTTTGCACGAATATGTGAAGAATGTTCGGACAAGCCAGTGTTGGCATCATATTATCTCTTTCAGCACCTACAAGAGCACCAGCCACTGCTTTCACCGTTACCTTCGACTCACCAACCGAAGAGGTTTCGCTACAAGATGCGGCTCGAAAGTCAGCGCAGGTACGGTGCAAAACCGAAAACCTCATGGTACTTCTTCAACTCTACGACCTCCAAACTTTTTCAAGGAATCCCGAGAGATATGTGGTTTTAGGCTCGTCGTATTTTGAATCGTCGAGCTGGTGCTCATCGTGGAGCTGCTGCAGAGTTACCACCTGCTAATCCCAGCAATAAACGATACCTGATCAATAAGTTGCTACATGGTGAGGGTAAGAGACTGTATTTGGTTGGTAATCTTTTAGATTCTTGCTATTTAGGACAAAATGCTGAAGAAACTGGAGGTGAAGGCACAGAGGTTGAGGAACGTAAGGAAGCGGATGTAGCCAGCGAGACCGGAACCTATGTAGTGGGTAAGTGAACTCCACTTGGGTCAATAGGAGGCATTTTATTTAGTGGCTCAACCGTTGATTTAGATATGAGTAAGCGAGTTGGCAACGGTCCAGCAAGTCAACTGATGGCCGCCAAAATTGTCGAAGATTCTGACTCTTCGAGTGATTCGAGCAGCAGTGACAGTGAGAGCGAGTGAGTCAATCAACTTCGAATTTTCGTTCTTTGCCACGATTTTTTCTCTATTCAAAGGGTTTTTTTCGTAGGTCTGAAAGTGAACATGAAAAGCCCCAGCCACCGGCTCATCAATCTCCTACCCCACCATCACCCTCCAAGGTTACCCCTGCTGCTCAGTCAAGCCCTACCCATTCATCTGAAAGTGATGCTAAGACTTCTGTTAACAAAACTGATTTGGCAAAGGAACTAACAAAACTGCGAGCTATGGCTGGTATAAGGCCTACTACATCCCCTGCAGGTAGTACTTTCATCATTTTCTTCGACTTTTTTGCCCAATTTTCTAAAATTGTTTTCAGTCCAAGCTCATGTAACCAGACCTTGTGGACTGTACGATCATTCACGTCCAGGACCAGCAACACCACCACAACCACCACGACCAACTACCGGTAGATCCTCACTTGGAGCTCAGCCCACGAATAGAAACTGCTTAGCTGCTTCTAAAAGTGGTGCAAGTGGGGCTGCCGGTTCAACCTCCTCTGGACAGTTCAGGTAAAATGAGTGGCTTGCTTCATGCGTTTACCAATGACTACTTCAATTTCATTCGGAGCAGTTCGGTTTTCTGAGCTTCTCGTCTTTCTTTTGGTTATGGTTTTGGAATTACTGGGATGCTTGGGATATCGAAGATTACTCAAGCTTTATCTTCAGTTGTTAAGATTTGTTTGCGTTCTCTGCTGTCGTCCCCGCAAGAAGACGAGATTTTTCAGAACCACAGAACTGTATACTTTTTCCCTTAATCAGCTTCAATGCATAGCAGGTAGCTTTGAAGGACAACTTTCTAATTATGGTTTTGAAAATCGTCAAGATCGTAAATAGTATTGGCGTGCTAAAACTTCGAAAAGGAGAAAATTTATTGCAGTAATTTCTTGCTTTAGGCATTGACAATTTCAAATCGTAATGAGAAGGAAAAACCAAAACTGCCCCCTTGTGGGCAGCAACAACACCTACAATTTTCCCCATTCTTACAGATTCATAAGAAAATAATTGTACTTTCTCTTAGGAAGTGGCGGTGCCAAAGCGAAACGTACGTGGGATAAGTTTATGTGTTTACTAGTGTTCATGCACGCTGTGTTAGTTATAGTTAGGGACGGCAATGGCACGCAAGCTTACCTCACTTGGGTATTATCGTTTGAGATATTCTGTCCTTCAGTCTAATTTTTCCCGTACTATAAGCCTGCTTGCTGCTTGCTTGCCTAACTATTTGCCGTCCTAATCTTTTATTAATTAGACCAAGTTTCCTTTCCAACGACAGGTTTTTTCCTGCTTGCTTTATGTTATTATTTTTTCGCAAATTTTTCTCGATTTTTTCTTTGCAAAACTTAGCAAGGACGCATGGCGTTGGAGTATATTTCTCTCTTCGTGTGTACCATAAAAGGCATGAGGAATGTTTATTAGCTATCGTAAGTCTCGATTACTGCCCCCATTCGGTCGGTCAGTACGTCAGTGACGGGTGCTGCTTGGCCTGTTCTTTTTCTTTGCGGTGTTGTGTCTTGTAGAATAGCGTTGTGCATATTTTTCAGAAGAGGTGATGGAGGCCGCTATTCGATGAGAGGTGCAAACGCGCAAGGAGTCGCACCATCTAGCCCTCAGCAGTGCTCGAAGAGACCACCATTTAGGGCTGGGGTGGCACCACTGCGGCCTGGGGTTAGATTTTTCTACATGAAAAACATCGTCTGTATTTGCGTGTGTATATCAGACTTATCTTTTCGTTTAGTTTGGTAACCCTGATAAGCAAAAGGAGCAGGAAATGAACGCATGGTTACGAAGGAAGGACTATAATCCCATGAAGGCAGCTGCTGAAGCGAGAAAAGCAAGAGAATTGAAAGCCAGGTAAACACTAAAAATCAGCTCCATTAGAGTCAAATTTCTTGGCCACTTTCCTTTTTGAAATATCGCGTTACTTTTGATGCATGCGCTTGAAAGAACCAAGCCGCTCCGAAACTTTTTGAGCGATGCTGCTTGTTTGCGCCTTCTCTAAATTCTCTTTTCAAAGGCATGGCAGTATCCCTCTTAATGCTACATTTTTCCTCTGAAAATGAGCAAATCCCGCTGATCTTCTCAATACTGAATATGCGTACTTAACAGCTTAATAAAAAGGGAGGTAAAGCCAAAAACGCTTTGAATACCATTTAACTAACAATGAAGTGCAAGAAAAGAAAAGGCAAATATTACCTAAAACAGATCCGTAATGATCTTAACACCAAAAGTACACGAGCTGAGTTGCAAAACGAAGAAGCAATAGGATGTATGTCAGAGCAGAGATTGACGTCTAATTGCGTATCATTTGCTGTTATTAGGTCGTGCGGTGGCAGTTTTTCGCGAACTCGTAGAAAGCGGGCTTCTGGATGTGCGTTGATGACTACGAATGCTGAAACAAACAACGTCAGTTTCAACGGCAGGGAGGTGGAGACTTGCCTGTGAGTGGAAAATGACGAGCTCGTTACCGTTGAGTGGATGTCAGATGCATCATCTTGGAAGTCAGGAACTGGTGAATGGTGCCCGTCTTCTAGTGAGTACTGCTCCAGGTATCTGGAAACAACGCAGCAATACAAACAAGGTGTTTTTCTTTGAAACAACTACATGATTTCCTTCCTCTCTCAAACAGAAACTCCCCCACTCCCCCCCCCCAAAAAAAAAACAAAAACGTCATAGCGTATTCAAGAGCTCTGACTATATACCTTTGCACAGCATCAAATGCATCTGAAAGCCTGTCCAGTTGCTCATTCAAGGTCTCTCCCTTTCGTGGAGGCTCTGCTGCAGCAGCTAGAAGATCTTCCACGAAACGGACAGGCATCCTTTGTTTTGAGATCTATAAGACCAAACTTCACTTAAGAAAAGAAGCGCAGCAAGCTCTATGACCGGATCAATGGAAGTTTCGTAACTCACCGAATCAACTCAATGCTCTTCTTGCATTTTTGTGATAGCATATCCACGGCACGAGCCAGGCCACTGATTTGCTGAATAAATTAGAAAAGTATTCCAACTGTTGCAGCTTGGAAAATATGCAAAACTACCTTTCCACTGGCACGACTGCTTTGTTGAGACAAGCGTGAGATATCTTGCACAACTCCACGCGAGTATTCAGCCAGTACTCGTTGACTGGCATGTTCGGCTTCTTCAACGGCTAGTGATTCTTGGGATCGATTTCGTACCATATCACCAAAACCATCTCTCTGGAAACATTTTGTTACAGTAAGCAGCGACAAAAAAGAGCATATCAAACAAAATCAAGAAATTAGGCTACAACCAAAGAGGACTGCTTGCGTGGTCCAATTTGATTCTAGCCCTCTTGATTTCCTGTGAAATGCTCTTGTTCTATGCGCGGAGACCAAATTCTGTTCCCTTCTCATAATGTAGATTTCTTGCTAGGCAAAATTCGAACGAAAAAAAAGGAGAAGGTTCACAGTAGTACTCTGCGTTGATACCACTGCTT